TCTACAGAGCAATGGCCAATGAGTCCACAAGGCACTTGAAAGATAAAACCAGCAGGCAAAATTAAATCCACAATACAAGAGGATTCATGAGGCAAGAAAAGTCCAGAGTTCACACGGCATGATCTAAAGTCAAGGCACATAGCTAGGAAATGAACATGTTCCCAGCATTGCCTCCATCTGTCTGCTGTGTTAAATAGCCAGTTTCTAGTGCAGCCCATCAAGAAGGTTTAGGCTTCCTCCTCATGAGGAATTGGGTTGAACTTCACTGCTCCGGCCTTTTCTCTGCCTTACATGTTCTTGGATCAGGTGCAGAAGGGAGTTTCTCATCGCTGACCAGCTGAAGCTGCATGCTTTCCCCATCTGAAGTCTCAGGGCTGTCCTGATGCAGCTGTGCTTCAGCTAAACCCTTCTCAGATGGCTGCTTGGAGCCATTGACTCCCCTCCATATGTGCCTGGACTGGTTCATACTCCTCAGAGCTGACATCTGGAGAGGTATCTGGGGAAGCATCAGAGGGAGTCATCACAAATCCACTCATAAGTAGCAAATGTAATCAAATCTTCAGTCCATTAATTAAATTGGACTATACATTTATATTTCCAGTGTTGCATTGTGAATCTTTTAGCTATAATAAGGGCATGAAGAATCCATTTAGAAATGGTACATGTTATTTTAATTATTTAGTTATTTTAATTAAATAACTAGTTATTTAATTCAAAGATTATTACTGTTTCTTCCCGGAAATACGACATGTCCTGAAAATAAGGCTAAGCTTGATTTTTGGGCTGCCCTTAATATACGTCCTCCCTCGAAAATAAGCCCTAGTAAAGGGATGGGCATGGCCAGCTTCTTGGCCCCTTAATCAGATAGCTGAGCCGCTCTTTTCATGAAACCGCTGATTCACAGGTGTCACTGAGACCTCTGCCTCCAGCAAGTATGGTCGCTTTTACAGCCAATTCTGGCTGCAAAAGAAGCCAGAGGCCAAGTGGAACACCCCAGATGCCTCACGCCCTCCTTACCTAATGGTGACAATCACAGCAGGCAATTCTGTCCACAGAACAGTAAAGGAAGGCATGGAAATCCATACATTCCAACATGAATGGGGCCATACAGGCGGGGCCAGTGGGTTTGGCCAAGCCCTTATTTCGGGGGTCAAAAGAAAATAAGACCCTGTAAGAGAAACACAATATCTTTCTGAAAAAAATATTTTTTTTAGTTACACTTATATCTTTTGCTATTTTCTCCCAAAACATTAAATGATTGAACAGTGTAAAAATACCTGTTTTAAAGAAGTATTATATTTCTTATATACCTAACCCAATGCTGTTCTAGGCTGTCCTTTTCTGTACAGGCCAAATGTTAAACTCTAAATCTATTTTTTGATGTATGTGAAATGAAAAAAAAATTGTTCAGGTGACTACTTTGCAACACTTTGATTAGAATCCAAAGATATCAAGGGGCCAAATTTTTGAATGGGAAGCATATACATGTTATAACCAAAATAGAATGATTATGCATCATAGAAAAATAAGATTAAAAATAAGAAGGAAAATTATTTGAAAGATGAATTGAAATATTTTCAGGTGTAGATGGTTAGATGTCCATATACTGCTATATATAAATACAGAGGAAGAATTGTTTAAAGCAAAAGAAAGACAGGACAATGATTCCAGTTCTTAGAGGTGAAAGATATAAAATACATAAAACAAGAGATATAAATTGTCAATGTTTTAAATTTTTACTCAGAACTATATGGTAAACCACATAACAAATATATCAGATGATGATATAGAGGACTTTTAAAGTAGAATAAACGTAATTGTACTTAGATGATACACAGAAACAACTGTTATTTGCCTCAGTATTGGAGGCAGCTATTAAATAATTTTAAAAGTGGCAAGGGGATGGTTTTCCTTATAAAGTGATAGAAAATATTTATAGATCTTTTGGTGCCAAAACTGTCAATGGTATGATGAAATACTTGATAAGGGAATATTATCAGAGGCATTTAATCAGATTTATATTACAATAATAACAAAATCAGGTAAAGATTATATCCAATCTGCTCTCAGCTGTTCATTGATTATGTTGATACAAAGATCTTAAATGCAGCGTTAGCAAATAGATTACAGCAAGTGTTACCATTTGTGATTAAAAATGACCAAGTAGGTATTATATAAACTAAACAAACAGCAGGTAATATTAGGTTAGTTAGATAGATTTAACAGATTTTTAAAAAAAGACCATTTGTAATCCTGTCATTAGATGGCAAAAAACCTTTGACAAAATACATAGACAGTACATGTTTTCTCTTTGTACTAAACACTTTAGTCATCTTGAAAGGGAATGGATATTCCTGTTTCTTGTTCTGCATTTTCTTTCTTTTATTGAAAGAAATGACAATCATTCTCTGAATTACGATGATTGTCACCAACATGCATTATGCAGACAGACCTTTATAAATCAATATTTATTTCTATGTTTTGTATACATTACACCAAAAACAAATTGGGTTGCACATTGTATAAGAACAAGCTCAAGTCTTATACACAGTTCTCTGAGTATTTCTTGCCATATGTTCAATTTTTTAAATCCTTACATTATTTTCCATGTTTACCTCAGCCAGCCCTGTGCTTATGCCTCTTGTTAGTACTAATACTTCCTTCATTAGTAAGCCATCTCTATTTCAGCTAATTATAATCTCAAGACAATTTCACAAAGGTTGCTGTTCATTATAATCAGTGTTGTAATATACCTCTATCTTCTTTCCCATTAATAGTTTCACAATTAGATCAAGGAATGCCTAATAATCTCTCTGAAAACAGTGTCATTATTTAATCACTTGAGTGTGCAACTGGTGTCAGCCCATTATTGCTGTCTTATATGTATAAGAATAAGAGTAACAACAAAGAAAAATTAAGGAGGCTCATAATATTTTGATTAAAATACACTATGAAAAATTGAGGGTTGTTTCATATGATGGTCTGTCATCCCAGCTTTTCAGTTTTGCTTTGATAAAAAAGCACTTTCAGGAATTTTTATCATTGCCATTTATTTTGGTTTACTGGTTGGAACAGTTAATTTCAGAATTTAGCCTCTCTCTGGGTTTCCACTTAAAACTATTATTTTGATTCCATTGAAATCCTGTCCCAGCACTGAGATTATCCTTATTTCTTGGGAAATAATTCTGGGTTTTGGGCTCAAAAGATGGCGAGTAAGATCTCGCTGAAACGTTGCCAAGACAATCTCAATCTTACATGGGAAAAGACCCAAATACAACAAGACCAGCATACCTACACCTGTGAAAATCTACAAAAGATTTAGCCCTCCTCCCTTACATCAAAGGCACCACTGATAAAATCAGCAAAATTCTCCACAAACACAATATCAAGACAGTCTTCAACACTGACCAAAAAAATGGCCAACATCTTAAGAAACCCCAAAGACAAAATCCAGCTAGAAAACCAAGGAGTCTACGAAATACCATGCAAAATCTGCCCTGCCTCATAAATAGGACAAACGAAGAGGAGAATAAAAGCACGCATCGCAGAACACAAGAACGCAGTAAGAAAACCAAGGAGTCTACGAAATACCATGCAAAATCTGCCCTGCCTCATAAATAGGACAAACGAAGAGGAGAATAAAAGCACGCATCGCAGAACACAAGAACGCAGTAAGAAAAAAAAAGAAAAAAA